GGCTTGTAGTTTTCAAGAAGAAGTCGAAAAGTAAAACATTGACATGGACGACGATGGACAATCACTCATATGATAAGCTCTGCTCGACAAAGTCGACAGCGGAGCTAAAAACAAGTTTTCTAGATGAAAATATAGCAGTCAATACAAGCTTAAGAATTAACTTTTTGACCATTGTCCCTTTAAAGTCAAATTCCCCAAAAAGTGACTTTAAACAACAGTCAAAGTCATATTAGGACCACATTTACATTCTTGTAGTCAGGATTATACTTTCAGACTAAAAAGTTTGCAATTTACGCAATAAACTAATTACCAATGTCAGCATCCTTTATTTCATGTTTTTGTCATATTACCTCACACCCTGCATATGGAAGTGTGCATGGAATCATGGGAAGAAACAGTGTGCATTGTGATAACTGGTGATTGAAAGGTCATACTTGTTTTCAACTCTGGAAGGACAGTGGGTTCTACAAGGTGTAGGTGTAATCATGCCTATAAATTGGAAAGACTCAGGACAGTTTGGGTCGATCATTTCAACTTGGTGTCCTTCATTTCAACTTGCTTTCCTGTGTGTTCTGCTATGACATTGTGTGACAAGTGATACAGGCTACAACCATCATTCTGTGAGACTTGCATGAACTGCTCTGCGATCTCCTGCTTTCAGCGATGCCCTCCAGAATACCAGCGTTCCTCTGCAAGCAAGACTCCTGTATTTCTTCGTTGTTGTGTTGCAGAAGCCATTGACTGTCGTCCATTATTACATCCTGGAACTGCAATCCCCTATTTTAGTGACTTTATTCATTGTATTTGTCTGTGCTTTATTTCTTGTAATTATTTTGAGAGGTATTAAAGGCAGGAGCTTTAACTCGATATTTTGGTGTATGTGTATCTCATTTCCAGTACTATTGTCTTGTCTACCCCATACTAGCAGAGAAAGAACCCCCTGTCCAGTGTGAGTTCTGTGGGTGGCCCTCTCATTGCGATAAGCAGGCCTTACACTGCGACAACCAGGCAAAGTGTAATACTCACCACTATCAAAACTACTATGATGAGATGTTTTTACACGCCCTTGTTTTGTGATTCCCTCCCAATTTTTATCCCCATCTTCTTTTTCTGAAAACGAAACAGAAATCTTAACACGATCCTAAATGGCCTAAGCACATGCAAATAATAGTAATATGTTCACAAAGAACAGCAGAGAAAACCAAATGATATGGGTCTCTGTTTGTATAATGATATGATATTTTATATAATAATACAATCGCTATTGTGATTGTATCTCCTTTGGGATATTGATGTGAAACATAATAAAGTAGGAAACGAAATAAACTCAATGGTATACCTAATTGTAGATTATCTTCTTTACACTGTGACAGTAAACCCATTAACCACTTGTGCTGATTAAGAAGACAATCCCAGGCTGGGTCACCGCTGGAAACTAGACTTGTCAAACATCTATGGAACAAACAAACCGTAGAATTATGTACCGTAATGTATGTAATTATGTTAATTCGATCTGCTGTACACCTAGCAGCCCAAAACAGTAAAGCTAAAAAAACATACACACAGGCAATTTTCAGTCTTAATGGTTGTATTTTGCAAAAACAAACTGATGTAATCCCATCTGGCTCACATAAAACTTACATAATACATGCCTATCCGCAGACCACCCACCCACAAATAATCCCATCTCAGTCACCTGTAACACATACACCCACCTACCTACTCAAACATCACCCTCCTACAATTATAAAGCCAGACCACCCTCCTACAATTAAGCCCACTAGTTCAATTACCTTAAACCAACATGCCAGACCACCATCCACAATTAAACCCACCATCTCAGTCACCTACATTGAAACCCACTATCTCAGTCACCTACATTGAAACCCACTATCTCAGTCTCCTACATTGAAACCCACTATCTCAGTCACCTACATTGAAACCCACTATCTCAGTCACCTACATTGAAACCCACTATCTCAGTCACCTACATTGAAACCCACTATCTCAGTCACCTACATTGAAACCCACTATCTCAGTCACCTACATTGAAACCCACTATCTCAGTCACCTACATTGAAACCCACTATCTCAGTCACCTACATTGAAACCCACTATCTCAGTCACCTACATTGAAACCCACTATCTCAGTCACCTACATTGAAACCCACTATCTCAGTCACCTACATTGAAATCCACTATCTCAGTCACCTACATGGAAACCCACTATCTCAGTCACCTATATTGAAACCCACTATCTCAGTCACCTACATTGAAACCCACTATCTCAGTCACCTACATTGAAACCCACTATCTCAGTCACCTAAACCCATTTACCCACACACCAGACCACCCACCATCTCAGTCACTTTAAATCCACCCACATATCAAACATCTTCCCACAAGCCAACCATTTCAGTCATCTAAACATACACGCCCACATACCAGAATTCCACACACAATTGAGCCCACAATCTCAGCCATCTTAAACCCACCTACACCAGACTACCTATACACACAAGCCCACTATCTCAGCCATCTTAAACCCACCTACACCAGACCACCTATACACACAAGACTATTATCTCAGTCACCTAAACCTACATACCTGATAAGGTCCTTCTGTTGATCTAATGTAGATGGCAGTATCATCAATTCCTCTAATAATTGTTTTCTCAGTCCATCAATCCGACTTTCAACTTCTTTATAAACTGTATTCAGAATTACATTTTGAATAATTAGGTTTCCAAATATAGTTATGAGAGTTGACATTATGAGTTAAAAAGAGTATAAGATAATATATAGAATGAATCAGACTAGGGGTTACCCCTTTACATGTGAATTTTATACTGAGACGTATAAACTAGTATCACATAACAGAGTTTTAATTCCCCTGGTTGCTATAATCATTAATGCATTTACAACAGAGTGAGTGGGGAGTTTAATTGTTTTTAAGTTAGGAAGATGTCTTGCCTGCAGTAAGTGAAAGGTAACATAAAAGTTTCCCAGAATATGAATGAGAATAACAAATTGCCTGCTGATGTCATTTTCAATTCAGCTACATATTCTTGTTTCTGTGGACAATGTGTTAACATACAACTGTACTTACCTTTTTTAAATACTTCCACTTCGGTGTCAGCAAATAATGATTTAGCTCTTTCATAATCAGTCACAACAATCTCATAGTCGCCCTATACACAATGTAATAAAAAGAAGATTGAATCTATAATCACAAAAACAAAACAATGTGCACCAGCAATTGAAATAATCCCAAACAATGCTGAGAAACTGATGTACAGAGACATTAAGATATTGGATAGCACTATAGGTTGTGATGGAAATAGAATCCGGTGACTGAACTCAAATATTCGCACAGTACAAACAAATTTTCATTTGCATTTTTGCCCATTACCAGTATATTTTATTAGATTATTACTACAAACAGAATGAAGATGTATGTAATAATAATAATACATGTATGTAATAAAGTTATTTTGAGAACACCGAAAAGTATGCACTCAGGCAGTAAGGAATTGCTTTGATCTGTTACGCAATTGTTATACTGCATTCATGCATACTTTGCAGTATTCGCGTGATAACCTGATAATGTGCTCATTTTAAAAGATGAAGCCAACAATATCAAATCAAAACAATTTTACCTTTTGTATATTACGTTCCATATTGATCGGTAAGTTAAAGAGAAACTTAAACCTGTTAAGTACATTAAGTGCATTCCTAGTGGAATCTGCTTTGTCTTTACGATTCAATACATCTTCAAACAACTTGCCAGCTTTGTGGTTACACTCTGTGGGTATACATACAAAAATTCAGTTAGCATGGGATATATGTGCTTTGATCTCAGGTCATCACGTAACCTGATTAAGCGCTTTGATCTCAGATCATCACATACCTGATTATGCGCTTTGATCTCAGATCATCAGGTACCTGATTATGCGATTTGATCTCATGTCATCACATACCTGATTATGCACTTTGATCTCAGGTCATCAGGTACCTGATAA